TTGAATTTTTTCAGCAAGAAAATCTTCCTTTATTTCCTTTATTAAAGAACATTTAAAAAATTTAAATAGTTATATTAATAATAGAATATTATTAAAAAATTTGGCAAACCTTTAACTACATTTATTTAAAACCTTAATTTTGTATCTGAATCATTTCAAATAATATTTTAATTAGCTTATAATACTGCATTTAAAAAGTTTAAAAAGCATATTTGAATCATCTATGTTATGAATTTTTTAAAACAACTCAAATATTTAATCTAAAATTTATAAACCTTACTTCAAATCAAAATATTTTTCTTATAGTATTTCAATAATTGAATTTAAAAATCCTTCATTTAATCTTCTTCAAGAATGAGTAATTTATTGTAATTTTAACTTGTCTTTAGTGAAATATTCAAATTTAAAGGAATTTTGGCAAAAATTTATCTTCCCTCTTTAAGTTAAATTACTTTAGATTATATTTAGTTATCACTTTCTTCATGTAATGTAAAAAGTAGTTTTCTATTTATAATAATATTTTGCATGAAAATAGAGAAAATCTGAGGCAAGATTTTCTTCAGATGCTTAATATTTTGTATTTCAATTGCAAATAATAAAATATTATTACATTAGTTTGAACATTTAATAAATTCTTTTAATTTTAGTTAAATTATACATTATAAGTTAATTTTGGCTAAAATTATAAATTAAAATAAATTGAAATTTTTAATCAAATTGAAAATAATTTTTATGCAAATTGAAAGAATTTTTATGGATTTCTGATATTATTATATAAAAGACTATTAAAAGTCTTTAAATATTTTTAGCTTAATAAAAACCTAAAATTTTTGAAGTATAATTAAGAAAAGTTTATATATTTATTAAAAGAAATTTGTTAAGTTTTATATTAAATAATTAGTCAGGTTTTTTTATTTTAATTATAGTTATGATATATTATTATAAAAGTTTTTCTATACTTTGTTAACATATAAAGTATTATTCTTTTAAAACTAATTATTACTATTATTTTATAGTTTGCATAATATATCTTTAAAGAATAATAATATATAAAATACTAATTATTATTCTAAATAATGAAATAATATATTTGATTAAGTAATATTTACTATAATAAAAATATATAATTATTTTTTTATAAAGTTCTTAACAAATTTATTATACTAGAATTATTAAAATTTATAAAATTTTTAAACAATTATTTTTTATCTTGCTTAATATTTTAAATAATATAAAATATGTCTTTATATTTGCTAATAAAATTAAAAGCTTATATTAAGTAATATAATTATTTAATTTAACTATATGAAATATATAATAATAGTGTAAATTAAAATATTTTACTAATTTTTTATTTTAAAATTGTTAAATTTCTAAAATATAGTAATAATCATAAATTTATAGGTATCAATAACTTATTTTAAAAAATTAGAATCATCATTAAACTTTTGCTTAAAAGTTAAACAGATATATTGTAGTAAATTAATAACTATTTATTGAATTAAAAGATATTATTAAAATTGGGATCTAAGTATTGCAGAAAAATTAGATTAGCTTCATATAATAATTATCAAATAAAATAATAAGATTATAAAGATAACAAAGAAAAGCTAATATAATAACCATTTAAATATAAGAAAATGAAAGAAAGGAGTATTAGATTTAGTGTAAAATAAAAGATTATATCTTTATAAGTCTAGAGAAAAGTTTAGTAATAAAATTTCTAAACTTTTACTTCTAAAAAATCATTAAGAGAAAAGGCTATAATAAATAAAAAAACATAAAAATTTTGATTAAAATCAATTATTTTTATAATTAAGAATATATTTTAATTATATATATCAAAAAAGATTTAACAATTTTCTGTAAAAAAAGTATTTTGTTCTATTAAATATCTATTAAAAATTCATATTTAGAGATATTTTTTTGCTTCTATATTTGATAAGTTATTTGCTTTTAAAAGAATCTTAATATTAAATTTATATATACTATTTATAAGTAAATTCTTTAATTTTTATTTCTATCTCTAACTTTTTGATAAAAGTATCATAAATTAAATTTTAAAAAAGATAATGATTTAAAGCATTAATTGAAAATAGATAGATAAAAAAAAATAACATTAATGTACTTTTTTAACCATCAATGTTTTTAAATTAAAATCCTATAAAAAATATTTAAAGATTAATAAAAATTAATATATAAAATAAATTTGATTAATTAAAGAAATAGAATTATTTCTTACTTATACTTATTGCAAATTTAATAGCTAGTATAAAAAAGCATACAGTTACTCTTATAAAATCAGTTAGTAATTACATAATATATTAATTTTAATTAGTTAGTTATATATTAATCAGTCATTATTATTAGTTATAAATCACTTAATCAGTTTTATTATAAGGGTAATTGATTAGAATAAAATTTAAATTAGTTATTTTAATATTATATATTATTTTTAAAATACTAAATATTATTAATATATTAAATCAAATTATTATGATAATAATTCACTATATGAATAATAAAAAAATATGGTATTATATTATTTTGCTATTAATTCTTTTTAAACATTTAGTTATTTTGAAATTAAAATTTATTTTGATTTATAGTTAAAATAAACAATTAAATACATATTATTAGATTTAATTTATATAAAAAATATCTTTTGATTGTAGTATTATTAAATAATATAATATTAATAATATAAAATTACATCTAAAAAATAATGTTTAGAGACTTTAATGACTCTTTATATTTAATTTATAAATAAATCTATTATTTGTATAAAAATTAGAATTTATTTTTGGTAAATAATTTAAAATTACTACATTAAATTTTTTAAAAATAGTTTAATCATTAATATAATTTAAATAAACATTATAAAATAATAATAACATAATAATTATTATCAGATTTATTTGAAAAATAAAATTTTTTAAGTTATGTTTTATATAGAAAATTTTTTATTATTATAATTAAATATATAAACCAATATAGATAAGATATCTTTATAATTTAATATGCTAAATAATATAACTATAGGTATAAATATACTTTGATGTATGTTAAAATTAATTACATCAATTTAACATTTATTATAAATTATTAATAATATAATAACATCTGTTAAAATACAATTTAATTAATAATTCGCATCAAAGTATAGATATAAGAATCCAAAACAATTAATATTCATATTATTGGATATTGAATTTATATATATAACTAATAGTAGTAAATATATTTAAATATAAATTAATGAAAAGAATGGATAAATAATAAAATTACTCTAGTAAATTAAAATTATATGAAATTCAAAAAATTTTTTTTAATAATCTGCATTTCTTATTGATATTTGATTCTTTTTATGATCATATTGTAAGTTTTCTTATATCTAAATTGCAATTATTGGATGTTATAATTAATATAAGCTTTCAATCTAAAATAAAAATTTTTATAATTATATTTATTTAAAAACACAAATATAATAATATATTATGATCTCCACAAAACAATAAAAAAATAAGATCAAGCGATACTAATTATTTACCAATATCTTTTATGTGGCCTATCTTTCCTTTATGATAATACTTGCGTTCTTGAATTAACTATACATCACAATCAATATAAAAGATATAATTTTCCATTTAATTAATAGCCATTTAAATACTTTTCCTAGAAGCAAATGAAATTTTTACAAACCTGATTTAAAATGCTAAAACCAGAAGCCTTGCAAATGAATTTGTGTTGGATCATTGTCAAGCTGAAAATAATAATTTATTTTAAAAATAAATAACATCCATCATTCCTACCGACTAGCTGTCAGGCGCAGGATATGACGGCTTACCTTTACGTGCAGAAATGTTTGCCGTCTAGATGACAGGCGCAAGATCACTCTGAACGCACCTCATCATTCCCACCGACTAGCTGTCAGGCGCAGGAAATGATGGCTTATGAAGAGGAGGTCACCGACTAGCTGTCAGGCGTGATAGTCTCCTTTCATACTTCCAGCGATGACTGCCGTCTAGATGACAGGCACAGACATGTGGGACGTTGAAGTATTTGATATATACAATAGATTTCAAAGTTTTGCGTGACATATCTAACCATATATATTAATTGTAAATGTAAATTTGTTGCATTAATAATGGTGATGTGATTTCACAACAACTTTAAGAATTATGACATGAAAAGAAAAATTTTTTAAAAGTTAACGTGATGTCCAGTAGTCACATACCTTTTACACTTAGAAATGACGATAGATCTTATCATTTCAAACCTTTCTAAAGCAGAAGCTTTTAATCGTTTGTAATTTTTGAGTCTCATTTCGGTAAGTTTTTCAAAAGATTTACTTAACTACCTGTTAAATTAATAAGGGTTTGGCCTGAATAACTGAAAAACTTTGAAATATTAAAGTTTTTTTTTTATAAATCTACGCGTGTTATCGACTAATTAATGACGTAAAATTTGTACCACATAGAGTGTCCAGGATTATGCTGCGCCGGACGTGTCGCATGTCGATCATGGCAGATGACATTTATATGGATGTCGATCAGTTGATCGACATAATTTGTCGCAACTTTTTTGACTTTGCCAAAGAAAAATTTCAAACAATAAATGCAATTAACAGTTATGTATGATAAATTGGTAAAACTTTTTTTTATTTTTCCGATGCACCAACCCACCCGCATTTAACATACTTCACATGCACAATAATGTGACACTACATTAAAATTTAAAAGCTTTTTATCAAATCTGTCTTGATGTTATTCCTTCCGTGTTTCACTTATATTTCCGTTAATTCAGGAGATGATGTGTTCATTCGCTTTCCACAATCCGAACAAATTTAGCAGTAACTTTATTTTGTCCCTTACACTGAGGGTCTGGACAAGGTATTACTTGATAGTAGATTGATCGGTGGTGGTGGTCCAAGCAGATCTAATGCAAAATACAAAGATATAAACAATCTCTTTTCATGCAAAGTATAATAATATAATATGCTATACAAGTGAAATCTCTTTGACTCTCCCTGACGACTTTGACAATTTTGATGACTTTGACTTTGGAGTATCCAAAGATGTTGGCAAATCTACCCTTTTTCGTTTTCGTGATGGCAGTGGTGTAACGTCGTAGATATCCTGTAAACGTCGTAGTTGATCTTCTTCATTACTTTCATCAGTTTCAATCAAACAAATCATATTTTCAACAATCTTCTACAAGAAGTTTGTCAGATGCGGAGAACAGAACTGAAAACAATATACAAATACTTACATTAGCCTTCCATGTCAGAGAAATTACAAGTGTCTTTCCAAACTCTTTAATATGTGTAGCGATAGAAAAAGGCTTTGATCGTGACACACGACACACATATCCGGCTGATGAGTCCAGGCGCAGAAGTACCATCATGAGTTCTAGAAAAATGCGATCAAAGTAAGCAACAAAAGGTGAATTAATGAATGTTAGGTAAAAAACATACCAGCATGAAGGGATCCAATTGTTTCTAATTTGCGGGTTTTATGCTCATCTTGGTCAAAAGTCTCACAAAGTTGATTAAACATGTCTTTCATCATATTAGGCCTCTTTCCCTCAAATTTTCGATCTGTTTCAGCACACCCAAACTCAGCTGTAATCTTACGAATAATCATATCACCTCTCCTTCCAGGTGCATTTCTTTTCATATCTATTACTTCAGGCACAGCTCTTTCACGATTTTTCTTGCTGATGACGACAGGCTACATGACTCCCCTCTATTGTAAAAGTTATTTAGACCATGGAAAGATGAGAACTGATCGGAAGCCTCTTATTCCTTACCTGACCATTTTCACTTCTTCAATATCATTAAAAACTTTATCGGTGAAGCTCCAAATGTGAACAAGTATCCATAGTTTTAAATGGTCCGCCGTTAAAGTATTCGATTCATATTCTTGCAATGTGTGAATTGAGAATGCAAACTTAGTATCCGATTTTAAATGAATGAAGATATTACATACAATTTATATATGATATTTCGTATCCAGTCTCGATCAAAATCTCTTAATCTATTGAAATCTTGATCCATTGGATCAGGACTAAAAACTTGCTTCCGAATTTCTGAGGTGGTTTTCTATCGAACAACATACCAATTGTCAGTAAAAAAACCAAGTTATATGATATATAAAAAGGAAGTAAAACTTACAAAATTGAAGCTATTTAGATACCTCATCAAGTCAAGAGGCATCGATAGCGTTTTCCTGACTTGAAAATGGCGAATTTCGTGTAATTCGCCTCAGCATAATCATTTATTCATATACAGTAGTTTTGAGATCTTTATGCTCTATGGTTACCATCCAATTTATTATGAATAATTTGAGATGCTCATTAAATCTATGCTATTCTCCACTAGACATCCTAGTTTCATTCATAATAATAAGCTTTCGAGCTTGAATTTCACCATTAAAATGTCCAAGAATTTTTTTCAAACCTGACGTTACAAAATAAAGATGACTTTATCATCAATATAATTAATAATAATATTTTTTTCGCATTATTGTAGTATAAATTTTAATACTAAGATTATTCAGGGCTTCTTTTCTGGCTTCTGCATAAAATATGCTCATAGCTTTAGATATACTCATTAAACTTTTCATTTCCATCACAAATTTCATTTAATACATGCCAAAAAATTAGATCTATAATTTCTTTATTAATTTCATCACTGATTTAGCCAAAAATCCTAGAAAAAGGTTAAAGAACTTTATATTATAAGCTGGAATATTTAGTAGATGTGATAAAGGATTAGACCTTTAGTAACCGCCTAATCTATTAAATTAATTAACTTCAATATCTCTCTTCCTAATTCAATTAAGTTAACTTCATTCTTGACAAGATCTAGTTTTATCATCATATTAAAATAAATTCTAATATTTGTATCTTCTGTTTAGAGTACCCATAATCTTAATATTATTTGAATACAGATAACTGTTACCTGAATTATATCATAAATATAATTATAAGAAATTTTCATTCAAATACATATATATTAATTAGATTACTTTATACAAAGTAATTATTAGAATCTAAAATTCTGGATTAATCTAGTTTTGCAGGATTTAGAAGCTTTTGTTTTTGATTCAAGAAAGTTTTACTAATAGTGAGCTTTAATGAAGAATTTCTTATTCTAGAGTTTCAATTTTGATTAGCATGATAATAATAAAATCTATATAATTTTTATTTTATATAATATATATATATTATTATTAATATGCTTTTAATTACATAATAAACAATATGATAAAGAGTTATATAATAAAAAAAAAATAAGTAAAAGACATTATTTAAAGAAAATAAAGAAAATAAAAAAATATATTCTTTAATACTAAAATCACTGAGTAACAATTTTACAAAATCAAATTCAGCTTAACTGATTTTACTATTTATATAATCATATTTTTTGATTTTTAGCTTCAAAATATTTAAAAGAGTACTATTAATAATTGGTAATTTATTATTGAATAAGTAGATCATAAAGTCAAAAACAGATCTATTTTTGAGATATATTACTTTTTACTTATATATAGGAGTTATTTTTTTTATCAAACTTAGGTATTCTAAATATTTACAAGAAAAATGATCATTTATTAGCTATATTATCAATAATGCTATTTTCTAAAGAGATACTATAAATTTCTTATAAATAAGCTTAATAAAAACTGCAATCTATAAATATTTTTAAATCTAATACTAAAAGTTAAAATATGATAAAACATTTTTTTTACATTATTACTATTAGTTATCCCTTTGTCTATAACACAGGCAAATTTGTCTGCGAACATAAAAAAAAGTATTAATT